GATTGGCACGAGGTCATTTATAAGCTCCCATGCAATATGGTGGGGTCATCTTTGTACGCCACTTCAGTTATTGAGTTGAATCTTGTTAGTACAGCCTACACTCAAAATTCAATTATGAAATTAAGGGACTTATAATGAATGATCTTTCCAACATATTCGCTTGGAATAAAAATGATAAATTTCCCTTATAATGATATTTATGTATATTAAAAATATTAAAATATAAGTTGGACATACCTTAACGTGATTTTTATAGTATTGTTTGACAATTGAATTAGTGAAGAAGTCATCATCATTGTTCAAGTAATGGCCTTTATCCTTAGCCCATTGAACATATTGTCTTTTCCCTCCAAAGCCTTCCCAATTGTTGACCAGAGTCAATAACAAATAAATTCCATGTTTCTTGGCTTCAGCCACAACGAAATCCAAACCCTGAAAAAGTAAACAATACAATTAATTATTAAATTTATTGCAACCATTATGTGTAATCGATCAGATCGAACACCTGTTTTGTTTTATTTTAATAAAATTTGAAAAGGAAATTTTTACTTATATATAACTCCACATATGGAGATAACTCCTTGGTTACATTTTAATGGCGATTTTGGCGAATATATATATATATATATTCGTACAACCAATTTAATCATATTTTTAATCTAAATCGAAAAAATCTTATCAAATCTTAGAAAAACAATCTATTTTGCACATATTCTAAAATATTTTTGACATGTTTTGAAATTATATATCTATCGTAGTAGGTCATTAAGCTTTTTATTAGTTTACAAAAGGCGATGTAAAAAGGAAATGCATCATAGACGAACAACATTTAAATAATGTACAAGGAGACGGGATTAAAATTCAAAATCTTAGGATCGATCCACCTGCGTACCTTAAACATATCTTCATTATACGAGCCTGGAGACGTTTGAAGGGCTCTATAGCCACCATCACTAAAAGCCCAAGTTCTCGCCAAATTCATTCCATACTCAGAAGCTTGAGCGAAAGTGTCTGTCACCTTATCTCTAGTCGACGGGTCAGAAGCCATATACATCAACCAATAAGAATTGAAGCCATTAAAATAAAATGGCCTCCCGTTCATTACAAACTGGCTGCCCCTTGTCCCAATAAAATTATCATCACGCGCCACCTCAGCCTCGCAGTGATAAGCCATCAAAAGGGCTGCAAAAACAAAACAAATAGCCAAACTCTTCCCCAACATTTTTGGAACAATTGATTGAATATTTAATTCTCAAATGTATTTTGTTTGTGTATTTGTGTTCTAGCCCTCTAATGTATTTATAGGGGCAAATTGGTAGTCAAGAATCACAAGTAATCACAAGCATGGGGTTGACAGTTCATAGTACAAAACTGTTTTTTTTTTATAGTTTTGGTTCAATCATAGTGCAAATCGAATTTTGAGAGATTTTTGTTACGTTCGTGTATTTCACGTGGCGCAGCATTTAATAATTCACGTGGTGTAATATTTAATTGAACCGTAAAATAAATGTCGATTCTTGAAAATGGTGCTAGTTAGATTTTACTGTCCTCAAATCACAAAATAAACTTTGGGAGGATGAATTCAAATATCGATTTTTTTTTATTTTTTTTTTTCATTTTTTTGCATAAATGCTCATATATTATATGGTGCAAAAAGCAATTTAACCATTATATTCATATCAAGTGTACTTTGACATATCTTTATATTAAACCTTTACATTTATTATATATGGTTATATAATTATATTCATATCAATGACATATTATTGCATTGAACCTTTACATTAATTATTTTACCAACCAAATGAGAGCTTAGCAGATCCATTAGGATTAAAGCTTTTACTTACGATGGGATTGAAATTTGTTACTGTGTTTATCCAATATTCCCAACGAATATTTTTTTAATTTTTATTTTTCATCTAAATTCCCCCCAATAATCTTTTATTATGGTATTATGTAAAAAGAAAAAACAAATCAACAAGAACAAATTTGAAATTTCTGTACAATGATAGAACATTGAGAAAATTACAGTTTTCATCTCTCAGGTTAGCACCAATTTCACATTTGGTCCCCCATATTCACACAAAAAACATATTTGGTCCCCTATGTTTCAATAATTTAATAATTTTGGTCGTTTCCGTCAATTTACTGTTAGTTCGTCTGTTAAGGCAGTCATGGACACACGCTTTCTTTCGTTAGTACTAACGGAAAGTTGACGGGAATGACTAAAAGTGTTGAATTTTGAAACATAAGGGACCAAACATGTTTTTTTTATGACCATAGGGGACGAAATGTGAAATCAGTGCAAACTTGGGGGTTAAAAATGTATTTTTTTTCCGTATAACATCCAATGCAATGATAAATGTGTAACCGAATGTACAACTTGTTCAATATGTACAACTCTTTCATGAAAAGCACAAGCAATGAAAAAAGAAATATAACTAAAAATTGTTGTATGATGATGCAAAAATGGTTGTACAACTTGGCAATATGGATAGAGATAACAGTTAACAGTTTAGCCCTTTTACAAACAAACAGTTAAACATAATTGCAGCAAACCTAGGATAAATGATAATTCATAGATATACAGAAATTTTCTTTCTTCTTTTTTTATTTCACATAGACAGGGGTGGAAATGTGACTGATTGGATCGAAATTAGCATTTTCCAGTAAGTTAATTCCAATTTTGTTCCCAAAAGATCGTGAAAGAAAATTGGAATGAAAAAACTTGTTCCAAAACTGAGAAGAAAAACAAAAATTCGGACTGAAATAAACTGAATTCGAGATTTTCAATTTTTTAGTCACCTATAATGTAAAATAGATAGTTGTACAGATACTAATACTATAAATGTACTTTCCGAAACAAATAGCATTTTCAGTTATCGGAATCTAATATGTATTCTAATTCCGTTATTAAAAAAAATTGAAAAAAAACAGAAAATTGGAAATTTCGAACTAGGAATGAAAATATTTTTTATAAATATTTTCGGAGCGAATTTCGGAAATTTCGTTCTAAAAGATATACAGACATAATATCATATTATAGTATAGAGTGAAATGTATTTATCATGGGCTAAACCACTTTGCAAATTGATGTGTTGATGTCCAACAAGCTAAGCCCACTCACACCCTATTGGGCTAAATTCTCATAGCCCGGGTTGATAAAGATTATTCGTTAGTTAGCGGTGAAAACAAAATCAATGAAACTCGAGTTTGTTTGTTAAAAGTTCGTTCGAAATCATTTTATTAGTATAATGAGCTTAAATACATATTTTTCGTTCGATCATTTTTGAAACTCGGCTCGAGTTTGAGCTCAATTATAAAAAAAAAGGTAAATTACAGTCACCCCCATGTATGGTCAAATTACAAAAAAAAAAACTCTCTTATTTGGATCATAGCAACTCCTCAACTATGAATCGTCTTACACGTCAACCATTGCAGTGTCAAATTTAGTGGAATCTTCTAGATTATGTGGAATATTTTCCAATTTCTACCTGTTTTACCCATTTGAGCTCCATATTTTGAAACAAGATGATCATAAGATGTGCCTATTGGCTTGTAAATATCAGATTGTGGTGCACCATAAACTGTATTTTTGTAGAAAATGAGTACAAACTAGAGATCATTCCACGAAATCTAAAAGATTATGTTGAATTTAACATCATAAGGGTGGACGTGAGGTGGTTGTAATTACTTAAACATTAGGGGATTTTTTCGTAATTTAACTATATCTCATGGAGGTGACCGTAATTTACCCATAGAAAAGTTATAAAATATGTACATAAAACTCATACTCTTTTAATTTGCATAAGAAGTCCATTAAAAATAAGTTACCATTAATTTTTATCACATCACGACAGGGATGGAAATCAGACATAATGGGTCGACAATGGCTTTTTCAGAAAATTTTCAATTTTTTTTTCAGAAGTAACAAATGGGTTCCAATTGTGTCAAACAAATTGGAATGCAAAAATTCATTCCGATTTCGGAACGCCTCAGAAATCGGTAGAATTTCGGAAATTTCGGAAAGGGTTTTTTATGCATAAGTCCCCAACCAAGCATGTTTATTATTCTAGGTTTATGGGCTATATCTCTTTCACCAATAAGCCCATCCTTTTAATATTTATTATAACTAAAGGAAACATTCATGTATATCCCCCATATTACCCTCAACCATTTATACCCAATTCTTAATTGTAACCCCAATTTATCAATTTTGTCCACAAAACTCCAATTTTTACCACAAAAATTCAATTTTGACTTTTTTTTGGAGCATAATTTAATATGCTACAATTTCATCCTTAACTTAATTTAATCTCAATTTAACCCCAAATTTCACAAATTATTCAATTTTGACCCAAAACTTTTTTTTTTCAAAAATAAAATTTTTGCCGCCGGATTCTGGCGTTGATTTTTTTTAGTGTTTTTTTAATTTTTTTTTTGTTTGGTTTGTTTTGTTTTTCTACGTCCGCCGCTAAACGTTGACCGTAATTGTGCTGTCACTAGCAGTAAATTAACGTAATTATACTGTCAATGATAGTTAATTAATGTAATTGTACTGACGTTGACATTACATTTATGTAATTGTGCTGCCGTTGACGGTAAATTAATGTATTATTATTATTTTTTTTATTTTTTATTGTTTATTTTTTATTTTGTTTGATTTGTTGACAAGTCAACGTAATTATATTACTGTCGTTGACAGTAAAATAACTGTAAACACAATAATATTATTGTCAACAACATCAATATTATTATTTTTTTGGGGTTTTTGTTTTGTTTGAGTTATTCACGGAGTAACGTAATAATATTATTGTCTATTATTGTAATATTACTGTAAACACAATAATATTACTGCGGTTGACGGTAATATTACTGTTGTTATAGTAATATTGCTGTCAACCACATCAATATTATTATTTTGTTTGGATTTTTTGTTTGTTTGAGTTATTCACGGAGTAACGTAATAATATTACTGTCTATTATTGTAATATTACCGTGGTTGACGGTAATATTACTGTTGTTATAGTAATATTACTGTCACTCACAGTAATATTAATTCTTTTGGTTTTTTTTATTATGTTTACATTTGTTGAACGGTCAACATAGTAATATTACTTTATTACACAATAATAATGAGTTTTGTTGTGTTAATATTAATGTGCTAGAGATTAATATAGCAATATTACTGTGTTAAACTATAGTTTAGTTAATTTTACTGTGTTTAACAGTAATATAGTTAATATTACTGTCAATCACAGCAGTATTGCTGTTTAAACGGAAAAAAAAAAGTTACAGAAAAAATCAAAAAAGTCAACGCCGGAATCCGGCGGGAAAAAAAAAGCTTTTGAAAAAAAAAAATTTGAAAAAAAAAAGTTTTGGGTCAAAATTGAATAATTTGTGAAATTTAGGGTCAAATTGAAGTCAAATTAAGTTAAGGATGAAATTGGAGCATATTAAAGTATGAGGGGTTATTTTAGTCCTTTACAAAAATCCGGACCATGTGTGGACTTATTGGTAAAGGAGATTTTTGTCTGGATCTCTTTATAAATAAGTACCCATTGATGGGCTTATTTGTAATATGCCCTTTCGAAAATTAATAATCCCTTGTTCCAAATTCGGATATTATGGAAATTTTCACAATATTTTTGTATCTTTTCTAAAATTTTACAGGAAAATACAAGAAAATCCAAAAGAGAGTTCGACAAAACGAAATAAATAAAAACACATTTAAGAACAACAAATTAAAACATAGATTTTCTTATAAGGTCTTAATTTACTTGACCTTTCACTACCTATATTTTTTCATATAAAATAAAACAGAAGTTATATTTGAAAATTCCATTCCGATTTCCACTACTGCGTAATGCACATTTCATAATGATCTCATAGTTAAATAATAACAGAAAATATCAAGCAAAGTACAAACTGCTATGACTAGTTTATCTAATTAATAATTGTCGGAGGGGAAGAAAAAAGAGTCATTTATCTTTGACTTAATAACCAAACAATAACATTATTAGTCAATTTGCCATCAATACCCTAGTGAAAAAATTAGACTACTTGAATCAATGTGGAAGACTTTGAAACTCAGTGTAACGCTCACACTTAAAAAATGAGTCAAGAGTAAAAATTAAGAAAATTTTGATTAGGTAAAGTAAAATAATATGTCAATAGGATAGAAATCTTAAATGTATGAAAATTGTGAGCTTACTTAAAGAGGTTATACATCAAATATATGCACTCCACGTAGAAAGAAGTATGTATACGTGAAAAATATACAGTGGAGACTACGAAGAGAACTTTCTTATGTTCATTGGTCATCTTCAATGGAATAATTACATATTCATAATCGTCTCTCCTCCACAGGGTTGTTTCTGAGAAATTGAGGATCCTAGGCGAGTTTCACGAATTTGTAAAAAATGGCCCCCTAATTTGTATTGTATAATATACACATTAACTCATTCTAACTAGCTCGACTGGAGAAGATTTTTTATTAGCAGTTAAGAATTTTGGGAAAAATATGACTAAAAATTTGACGAAGTTAAGGTAAACAAAAGTTTATGAGGTTCGGGCCAGAACCCCAAAGTCTTTTGAAAATAGCATAAAAATATTATTGGACAAATAAATATATATAACCTTTGTTGAAATATTCTAAAAGAAAATATAGTATATTTCAATTTGGCAAAACTCTTTGAAGTTATTAAAAATGCAAAGATTGCTCGAAAAAAAGTTTAAAAAAATTGATATAAGAACTCAAAAGATCTAACTAATTGTAGTTGATCTAAGACATTTCATTCACATCAAATGCTAGAATAAGTGTTAAAATTTCCAACAAATACTTAAACTATGTAAAATAATATAGTTACGGTTATTCAAATTGGTTAACTATTTATAAATTTAAAAATATTATTTAATATTATGACTAGTATATATATAAAGAATAGAAAACATTATTTGGGGGCCCCTATTTTTTTCAAAAAAATGGGGGCCCGAAGCGATCGCCTCTCTTCCTTATAGTCAGAACCGGCCCTTTTCCCCCAAACTATGTAACTAAATAAAGTGAACCAACAACTACTGTCCATATACATCCAAATGTGCATTTACAAAATACGCAGATCTGTCAAGGACTGTTGCCTGTGAATGTGTTTGATTGTGTGTGCATGCATGTTTTGTGCGGCTGTGTTGGTATGTATGTGTACCTGTCACTGTGTGTGTTAGTTAATTCTTATTCGACGACGACGGCAATGGGGGAAGATATCGGTGGAGGGGTGAAAACGACGATGGTAGGGGAAGACAATAGTGGTACACTGAAATTGTCGAAAATATGATTGAATCTGAAATGGAAGAGAACAATAAAAGAGGGAAGGAATGATGGTATAGGGAGAGAAAAAGGGTAATTTTGTCTGCAAAAATATAAAAATACTTAGCAAATTGGAAAAAATTTAATGTCTTGATTTAAAATGATTTTGGTCTTGAAAGGTGTTAAGCAAATTGCCCCTTCTATTTAATGTTTGTATTAAATGTTGAAGACAATCCAAATTTAGAGACTAGATCCAATAACTCTAAATATTTTTCTAATATAAAAAAATAAAATTGTAGGCTCGCTAGAGTAGACAAATGGAGATTTAGATTTAAAAAACCAAACAAAACAAAACTGACAAATGAGGTTGAAGAATCCAACTTCATGATTGTTAGGTAATATAGCATTTTGCTTTGAATTTACTTTTATTTTTGTGGTTGAAATATTTATAAACAATTAATATAATATCAAATAAAAACCGTTGCTAGTACGAAATAATTTATTGGATATTATAATAAATGGTTTACATCAATAAAAGTATAAAGTTTTAATTTGGATGAATGGTCGTTCTAAAAAACAAAAACGAAGATGAAATGGTCATTAAGTATAATATTAGGGGTAAATTGCGGCCACCTCCAGGTAAGATCAATTTATAAATAAATAAATAAATAAGGATAATTACAACCACCCTTTCAACTAAGAATATTTTTACACGTTCACCCTTACGATGTCAACTTTAATAAACTCTTCTAGATTATGTGGAATATTCTATAATTTGTATTCGTTTTATCCTATTCGAGCTCCACATTTTGAAATAAGATGATCATAAAATATGTCTATTGGTTTGTAAATATTAGATTGTGGTGCTTCAAAAACTGCATGCTTGCATAAAACGAGTACAAGATAGAGAACGTTTCATGAAATCTTAGAAGATTATGTTGAAAAAATTCCAAACATGAGGGATTTTGTCGTAATTTGACATCCTATGAAATTAAAGATCACGCTAAAAAAATTATACATACAAGAATTCAAAATCTAACACATTTGCACACGAGGATGCGTGTTGAATATATAAATATTGAATAAATATGTTCCTCGATAAAATAAATTCTTAGATGAAGTGATCATTCAACATGATGACTGACGAAAATATCTAAAGTGAAAATCATTTTAAACAATAATCGGCCTCGATATGGTATTGTTTTCTCCCAATAAATTTCATACATTTCGGCTATGAATAATTCTTGAAAATCTAGTTAAAAAAAATGAAACTAGTGGAAGGGCTAAGTCAGTCATTATCAAGTCATCGTAAGAAATACTCTCACTCGGTGTTGAACATTAAGCCATGCTAATAATTCTTTTGATGTTGAAGTATGAATGAACTAAAGAAAATTAAATGTCACTTTCATTTCAAATCCATGCACTAGTTTTTGTCTTTCAAAGATTCAAGACTAAGTTATTGTTATTTTAATTTTTAAGTATATAAGATTATAAGATAGGACTGTTAATTGAGTCGGGTCTATCCGAAGTTTGATGACTCGGCCCAAATTTATTTGAGTTGAGCTTAGTTAATTATAAGTTGTGCCGAGTTTGAGACACTTGATTATGCCTGGAAAGTTTATGAGCCGAGTTTGAGCACATTATTGCCTGAATTAAGTTCAATTACATAAGTAATTCAAATTTTTATAATATACATTAAAAATTATATTAAAGGTACTTTAAAGACTTCAAATATATATCTTTAACATGATATATATTTTGAATTTATCATTTACTTTGAATCATATCTCTAATTGCAAAGTATCAGATTTTTTGGTAATATTTTCAAATATTGGAAATTTTAATTATTTTTTATCACACAATTCCTCGGTTTAGTCATAATTTGTACCGAATTGATATATATTGTATTATGGATTACATGCACGAAATTTATAGTTTGCCGTGTCGTATATTGAGTCAAATTGTCCACTTATATGTATTTAATTAATCTATAACTCTTTCGACAATGATTTAAATAAATTAATTTTATAAGTTCGACCTACAACCCAAAACCACATGAGGGTTGTATCTGTAATTACCATCGGACCCTTGAATCAAATATATATAATATATAAATGAGGGTTTATAGAAATACTGCAATGATTAATGTAGTATTACCCAAAGCTTACGGATATGCTCTACTGTTGATTCAAACTTGAATTTGGTATATTGAGAACCGGTGATGGACAATGCAGTTCAATTCTATCTTGCCCATGAATTTCTCATGGACTTGTTCGATATTAAACTTAGCTACCGCAAGCTAACTTTGAAGTTCTTAAGCCTTCATTTTATTTTGAGACTATTGTCACGGACTTGAACAAAGAGTACAAGAATGTATGTAAATATTTATATAAGAACACAAGTGTCGAGAATATTAATAATACTTTATTGAATGAATTTTTGAATAAGACTACTCATATATATATTCAACTATACTTTCTCAAATGGATGATGGTGAGCATCTTCATCTAATGACTAAGACTAACTCATGCTATCTCCTAACAATTATAAACAAATGCCAAAAGATTTATACATTAATAGGAGAATTCTAGAAGATTTTCTATACTTCTATAAGCATATCTACTATGGGGTCTGATTGGGTCCCCTTCAACTTGGGTTCGCTTGATGTATCAACTTTAACTCATTGGTTCCAAACTAAAATAATCGGGCCGTAACACTATGATCTCTTATTTTGATTGCAAACTACTCAATGAATGAGATATATGCATTTATGTAACTGGCTGCGAGTCACTTCCTTAATTAAGAAAAAATAAATTATTAGGATCTCATACTTCAAAACAAAATTTTGAGTGACTCATGGTGGAACCGATTCAGGTTGAGTTTATTTTGAGTGGGTCGAATTAAAGTTTATTTATTTTTCCTTTGATGGATCTTTGTCCATTTTTAATTAACCAAAAAAGTGTACAGAAAATACAATTTACAAGGGATTATAATATTATATTAATTAGAAGAGCTCAAAGCTTGCATTATCCGTATTGAATTGACCACCGTCGCCGTTAATCAGCAAACCCAAACCGTTGAAATATTCATCGAACCAGATATTATCAATCATCATCTCACAGCAGTAATCATCGAACAACGCCGCCGGCGAGTCCGACGAACAAGACGACGTCGTCGTCGTTGTCGAACACGAAGGCGTTAGTAAAGAATCGTCGGCGCCGCCGCAAGAAATCAGGATTTCATGCGGCTCGATAATCGGGATTTCGTCCACGCAGAAATCGCCGTTGACTAATCCCGCAGGGTCAAACGTTGAACCGGCTGTGGTTTTGACTTCGGTACAATCTTTCGCTGACTCGAACAACGAGGTGGTGGGCCCCGCCTCCGCTGGAATATTTTTCGCCAGCGGCTCTTCCACTATGTTCTGATCCGCCATCGTCGTTTCCAGTGCTGGTTCTTGATCCGACGGCGGCTGGTCGGTGGTGGGTGGCGGCGGCGGCGGCGGAAGAGGCTTGTGGGTGAGTGGATCGATTCCCAATTTCTTAAGCTTCTTTTTAATGTGTGTGTTCCAATGATTCTTGATCTCGTTGTCTGTTCTTCCTGGAAGATGAGATGCAATTTTCGACCATCTGCCAAATATTTTAAATATTTTAGCTTTTTTTTTTTTAAATTCCCATGCCTTTAGTATCATATTTATAAATATAAAAAATTACAAAAAATAAAAAATACAAAAAATTGCATTAATTCTTCATGTATTATATCAAATTTATATTATTAAAATCCACCATAAAGCATATTTTAGCACCTTAAATTTGCAAATTTTTAGAGTGTAATGTGGTAAATAAAAATAATATTATGAATTACAATCGCCCCTGAGTAAGATTTATTAAAAAAAAGAACCTTGTGTTTCCATTTCCATTATTACATCGAAACCCTTAAATTTGTAGATTTCTTAAATTGACACCCTTTTATAGGGGCTTGGACGTAAGAAATTTACAAATTATAAGAGGGCTAGTTGCAACGTCTCAAATATAAAAGATTTTTTCGTAAATGAATCTTAAATCAGGGAGGTGGTTGTAATTAGCATATAAACAAAATTGCAAAAAGTGGGAAAATATAATGATGGGATATATAGCACGAGTAAAAAAATTGGAATAATGTCTGCCACAGCCCACAAACTTTGGTTGATTTTTTTTATAAAAAGAATAGGTAAAAAATAATAATATTATATTAAATAAATAATAATAATAATAATAATAATAATAATAATAATAATAATAATAATAATAATAATAATAATAATAATAATAATAAAAAAAAAAAAAAAGAAGAAGAAAAAGAAAAATACCTATTTCCAAGTTTGGCATGAAGATCAATAACCATTTGTTCTTCATATTCAGAGAGAAGACCCCTCTTCACATCTGGCCTCAGATAATTTGTCCATCTCAGTCTACAGCTCTTTCCACACCTTAGCAGCCCTGCAATTTCATCACCTTATATATGTTAGAGAGAGAGAGAAACAAGAGAGAGAGAGAGAGAGAGAGAGAGAGAGAGAGAGAGAGAGAGAGAGAGAGAGAGAGAGAGAGAGAGAGAGAGAGAGAGAGAGAGAGAGAGAGAGAGAGAGAGAGAGAGATTGTTGTTGGTAGGTACCAGCAAGTTTAGGGAGAGATCTCCAGCAGCATTGGCCATTGTTGAGAATGAAATTGATGAGTTTCTTATCTTCATCACAAGTCCATGGTCCTTTCTTCAATCCAACTTTGTCACAGCAAGGCTGCCTTCCCATTTTTTTTTATTTTTTTTCTTGATTTTTATTTTTATATATATATTATGATCCAATGTTTTTTTCAGCCTGATTATGTATTGAGAAAAAAAAAAAAGAATCGATGAAGATGAAGAAGAAGGCAATATAATTAATTGACTAGACTCAATAGCACCACCTCTTGCGTTACTTATATACATTGCAATACTGTCCAACACCTCGGGCCCACCACCACCCTTGTGAGTCTTGCTCATAAATTATAAAGTGGGAGTTTTTAAAAAAAAAAATTATAATAATTTTTAAATTTTATTTTGCCAGATATTGAGCACAATACACATGTCAACCTCAGAAAGCGCCACCTCAACATCCATTCTCTGTGCTTGGGTTTCAAGCATAAAATATATGGTCTTTGAGATGCTATACCTGATGAAGTACATCGGGTAATTATTAACGGTTGATGTGAAATAATTGTCCACTAAGTACACAGCATATAGTGCTTAGATCAACGGTTAATAATCACCCGATGTATGTCACTGGGTGCATCATCAAAAATAAAGACAAGAAAGAAAGAAATGCAATTAATTGATGTCAAAATTAGCTGAATTGTATTGGGAAATATGAATATGAATCATTCTTTTAATATTTTTTTCAGATGTTTAGAGATAAAGTTTTATTTTTTCACATCATTTAAGAAAATATTAGATTAATTATTAACCGTATTCTTTCATGATATTGAGGCGTCATTCGGATAAATAACATATTTTCCATTTCGTTAAATAGCTTGCAAACTGAGCTGTAAATATTTAAATTATACTAGACTAATTAGTAATTATGTACGACGAAATTGATTTAGAAAGTATTGACACTAAGTTCCGAACTCAGAGTTAGATTTTATTTTGCACTCTTGTTCCAAGAATTATACCATATTTTGTGGAGCATTTGTTTCTTTGTAAATAAGGAGTGTCATCTAAGTTTTTAATACAAATAGTTTATGCAAGACTAATTAATTAATTTATTGATTAAAAAGAAATCATTTCTTTTTAAAACCAAGCACAATCCCACATTTTATAGTGTGAAATACATTTTAAGTAACAAACTGGACATAAGGAGATTTCGTGCACTAACAAATTAACTTAGAGAGTTGAATAAAATGTTGATGAACTTAAGTTTTATTATGCCATTTACAAAGGAAATTATCATCAAATTTTGAAAATTTAAAGACGAACCCCTACATTGAATTTACGGTACTAAATTCAAATGGAAAATGGCAGAACAATAATGCTTATTAATTAAAGTGTAAATCTAACATTGTGTCAGTTGATCAAAGTCCGAATCCCTTTGTCAACGGTCGCTAGGTCGAGCTTGTCACATGGTTAACCTAATGTGGTTTACATTTCTCGTATAGTTTGCAAGCTACTATACAAAAATATAAGTTTATTACCCAGTGGCACATATATAATTAGTTGTGAGTCCGTTCATGATCGAAAAAAAGAAAACGAAAATTGTACACTGTACACTTCTAATTCTTATTTTCTTTTTCCTTTTCTGAAAAGAATATTTACAATTATATATATAATTATGTGTATTTATTTCGTATAATAACTTATAAACTTTCTATGTGACAGTAAAATCCATATCATTATAAGTGTAGGTTAAAACATTAGTTTTATACGCTCTGAAATTGGACCCACATTCGTATGGGCAAAGCAAAATTGTGAAAAATTAATTTAATATCTAAAGATTAAAAGATAAGAAAAATACAGGTGCAGTGAAGTAATATGTAACGCACTCATGATTGGCCAACTTTGCTTCTGTTTTTCTTTGAGTGAATGGCAAAATTATATATATATATATATATATATATATATATATATATATATATATATATATATATATATATATATATATATATATATATATATATGAATATTTTTTATTTAAAAGTTTAAAGGGGGAAAATGGCATGAGTTAATTTATAAAATAAATTTAAAATTAAAGCTATAGTTCTTACTTTCTTAGTCTATCATTTTATTGGATTTCAAATGCTACATTCATTTATAAATTCAAATCTGCTACGATTTCTTGGGAACCCTAATAAATACTTTCTACGAAATTATCCCAAAACTTTTAAAGGTATACGAAAACGACCCATAAACTTTTTCAACGGGTGTCATGGCGTTTCAGTCGACTTTGTAACTTCAGTTATACGCTAAGTTATCCGTAAAAAAATCCATTGCACTCACAATCATCCATTGAAGTCCATTAATATGTCACATTTGGTTAAACAAATTAAACTCGATTAGTTCTCTTGTGTATATGAAACGGTAAATAAGTGCTGGGCATCGTTAGGTTACTCGCCTATATCGGTTATTCGTACATACTCGAGGAAATTACGATATAGTTTTACGAATAAAATAGTATTTCATTTGTCTAGTATTTAATTGTAGGCTTTAGTATTTCGTCAATCGAATGTTTATTATTTTATTTAGTCAATAAAACTTAACCCAGGAATACCTTAGTATATATATTAATCCAAATTTTAAAATGGACTTGTAAAAAAGTCAAGATGAAAAAATAAGAATCGTCATTAGTGCTAACTGTCATCTGCTGTATATTAACTGTGTAGGGATGAGCATTGAAATTATGGGTATTAATTTATTTTCTTACTTTGAAATGTCAACCATGCTAATTCCTTATCTATCTAATTTGACTAATCTTAAATATTAAATCAAATGTGTATATATGTGACAAATATCCCAATTTGACTATTGCATTCAACACAATTTTTTATTTTAACATAAAATTCACTTAATTTATTACTTGTGAATGATAAACATTGTTTTATTTTAAGTTTTAACTATCCATCAATTTAATTTTTAAGTGTCATTTAACTTTATATATGTAAATAAATTAAAATTCCTATTAATAGAAAATGGAGGGAGTATTATTATCTCCAATTCATGAAAATTAATTGATTACATATAGGTGTATTAAATATCTAAGATAACTAACTATTTTGATGCAGTGTATTAGTTAGAGCTTCTCTTAAAATAACATCAATAATCCAAACAATTAGAATTATTTAATTAAGTTTAAATTGCATAGCATTTACTTTTATACATAAACATGGCTTCGGTCAAAATGGGGATTTGTCTTCGATTTTGACCTGGTCAACTGACATTTTTTTTTAACGAGGGAACCAGCGGGCAAGCATATAAGTTTATTGAGTAAATTTACACCCTCGTATAATAAGTTGCAAAGTATACCTGAGACGTAAACTACACTAGGCTAATCATGCGTGATAAATTCGACCTAACGACCGCTGACAAGTGACATGCGAACTTGGGTCAATTGACACAAGATCACTTGCTCCAACCGTTAGGTCATCCATTACGGGACGGTCAACTGATAGTTGTTTGTTTTCACGTGGGGTGTAACAGAAAAATTCAATTAAGAGATTTGTTGATTCCTATTATATTAGTTTCGAAAAAAAAAAAAAATAATAAATAAATGGTGTTCGTATATTTACAGGTTTTTAATAAAATTTCATATTTCACGAAGAAAAAAAATAACATAGATAAATCAATCGCGATTTTAGAATTTAAAATATTTCAAAAAGGATTAAATCGGTTTTACGTTTATAATCGTCCTAAACTATGTTTTCCGCATATATCTCCATCAAGTATCAAAATGTTTAAAAATTATATAGATCGAGTTAAATTAAAATTGTTGATTTACCTACATTTTCCTTCTATTAAAAAATGTTTTAAAAAATTATAATTTCTGATAATACACATTTATATTAACTAATGCATTTTTTTATTACTTGTTAGTTGCTGAGTAACTCGTTCTCTAAAAGTATTTTCTTTTTATTATAAAAGTATTTTCTTTTTATTATTGTAAATTATGTGTACATTATCTGATTCATGTAATAGATAAAGACAAATTTAGATATGTTAATAGCTTTCATTTTCCCTAAAAAAACAAAATATGGTAACTTTCATTTAACGATATTAGGTGTGATGTTAACTTCACGTACGATTTGGAAGATTTTAATATTTTATCGAGGTGTTCACTCGGTCGATAATCGATCGGACTGAACCGAATCAAACAGAAAATTCGGTACGTGCTAAATATTGAACCAAAAATTTGGTTCGATATTCGTTAAAGATTTTTTGGAATTTCGATATTCAGTACGGTATATGGTATTCATATCTGGTTTACCGTAACGTACAGAATATCGAAATATTTAAATATTTATTTATTTTTCTTTTATTTTAAATTCTTTAAGGTTATAACAAATTTTAAAAGGGTAAATTACAACCACCCCTGAGGTATGGTCAAATTACGAAAAAAACCCTCATGTTTGGGTAATTACAACCATCCTCCTCAACTATAAATCTTCTTACACGTACGTCCATCCTTGTGGTTTCAAATTTAGTGGAATCTTCGAGATTATATGGAATATTATCACTTTTGTACCCATTTTATCCCATTCGAACTCCACATTTTGAAGCAAGATGATCACAATATGAGTTTTTTGGCTTGTATATATCAGATTGTGGTGCATCAGAAACTGTATTTTTACACAAAACGAGTACAAACTAAAGCACATTCCACGAAATCTAGATAATTATGTTGAATTTGACACCATAAGGGTGGAGGTGTAAGAAAAAATCATAGTTGAAGGGGGTAGATGTAATTATCCAAATAAGATGGGTTTTTTCATAAATTGACCATAACTCAGAGAGTGGTTGTAATTTACCCAATTTTAAAATAATTTTAGATTGATAAATGTTTCCATTATTTACAAATTAGCCTCTATTGATAATCATTTTCTTTAGGGCCGATTATTGAAATTCGAATGTCAAATTCAAGAATTAATTAGTTTTAAGTATATTTTTTTTTTTACATTTCTTAAAATATATTTTCGATTTTTCCGGTACCGAACCTAAAAACAGAATTAATTCTATAAAAACCGTACCGAACTGAATAGTTCGATTCCATAAACAATACAAATTTTTGAAGTACCGAAATTTCAGTTTACCTAAATTCCGATACAGTTCATGACGGTATTAT